ATTTTATTTATTTATTTTTTAATGCGTGGTAGAGTAATAGTTTTTTTGTTGTTCGAGGCCTTTAAGTACCGTAGGGTCCTTTCAACTCTCCATCATGTGATTCAATCACGATCGTTAGTCGCCTTCTGAAATATTTCTAAGGAACTATCATATTTACCTTGTGAATAAGCAAGTTCTTCGACATTATCCATTATTTCCACTTTTGTAATGTATTTCTTGATAGACTTCAGAAGCCATGTTGTACTCCCGGGATTTGCAAAAGATCTTAGTCTTGCAATAATTAAGTGATAATCATGAATTAAAAGAAGAAATTTAGAGAAAAGATTTAGTACAAAATCCTAAAATAGATGTATGTACGTTGCAATTTCCAGTTTTGAAATACTCTGCAATAACAATATTTTTATTTTTTTTTTTGGAATTCGTAATTTGATAGAAAGGAAAAGCAGCTTGTAACATAAAATTAAACATCGGTATTACAACTGTTTAGAAAGCAATATGTAACTTATGAAATAATGTTATAATTATGTTAGGCATTTCATTCAGCGAAATTAACTCCCCACCTTCATAATGTCATTTTTTTCTTTCTTTCTTTTACAGTTTCATGTTTGGAAATTCTTCGAAAATATTTAGAAAACTATCAGATTTTTTTTAAAAAAGTGTTTGCAATCGTTGTGCAATGAAATTGCTTTTAATCACAATCTTATTTTTAGACATATGCCGGGAAAGTGCTTCAAAATATTTTGAGGTTAGAATTTTTGCGTCTTTCGGCAAGAAGAATTTTATTAAAAATAGTTATTAAATCAAAGTAAAGACAATCCTACCAATAGCAAAACCATCAATGCAAAGGAGTTCGGAATATTTAATTGAATACTAGACGTGCCGGATTTTTCATTCCTTGCTAAAACGATTGTTAAACGAACAGCCATATCACTATCACTAGGTTCAACGACCCAACTAATACTAGGTACAACGACCCAAACTATACTTTAACGCTTAACTAGGTAAGTTAAGCGTTAAAGTACAGTTTGTTACGTCCTGCAGCATACCTCAAATCGAAGAAATTTGTATTTGAAAGCGTACTTACTAGAAGTAAATAAAGTATAATTGAGCACAGAATTTTTAATTGAAAATTCTAATCAAACAGTTTTCTTTTTATTTTAGTGGAGGATAAATTAAATTTTTGAAGTATGGAAGTAGTTTTACTTTTGGATGAACGGAATTTATAAGGCTATAATATAAAAAATAAAATTTTAGGTTTAAAAAAAATTCTTTCCTTCCACTTTTAATCTTTGAACTACTGTTTTTAAAGAAACGCCTATTTTCTATGTAGAAGTAAATCTAGATGATTTATAAATAAGTTTATTCTGAATTAAAATAAGTTAATCAGCGTAATGTTATATTTTTGCGTAAATAAAGCATGCAGAAGAAAGTAGGCGTTAATTTTCCCAGCCTTTAAAGTTTTAAAAATATGACATCATAAGTGGAGAAACAATCTTAATTCAAGAAAATTTTAGCCATTAAGCAACCGATAACAGGTATTCAAAAAGCAAAAAAAAAATGATTTTTCCGCTATCGGGCATTGTTTATTGTATTCCAATAAATTAATTTTACTTTTCGAAAACCCTACCAATATATGTTTTAAATTTTAAAGTATACTAGATTATAAAATTATTATGTGAAATTATCCTGTCGGCTTGTAATGTAAAAACTAAAACTCGGGGAGGTTTACTTCAGTGAAGTTAATTACCCTGGGTAAGAATTTCATTAAACGGAACGAGTAAAAATAACAAGCTTTCCGTGAGGTTTGAAAAGTTAGATGATTGTGTTTTTACCATTAATAAAAGCATTTTAGAATATAAATGAATAGGAACAAAACTCTGAAAGGGTATATAGTCTGTCATGGAGTTAATGGGGCTTTGCTTCTGTTTATTAATGATGACCCACTTTTCTTTTTTTTTTTGTTGTCTTATTGACACTTTTATCTATATTCATCATTCCCCCTTTGTAACACATTGCTTAGATGTTTTTATGATTCTGAAAGAAAGCACAACGTTATAGAAATGGAAATTACCTCAACTCAAAAAGCTGGACCTAGAAATTGGTACATATTATAGTGCACATAGTAATGCATAAAATATTTAAAAAAAATTAACAAGATAATTATGGTGTAACAGAAATTAGCATATGTATAAATGAATAAGTAATATGCTTCAATTTGAAATAGAAAAACTACCTTCAATGTGGAGTAAGATCACCTCTAGCAGCAATTCAGCTATGCTTTCAATTATGCGTCTGTTATAAGTGCGAACCAATGTCTGAAAAACAATTGCAAGCGTGACAAGATTCTGAGGAGGATTGAGAGCAGCAACACATCTTTTAAACCCTTTGACGGTTAAGGAAATGAGCAGTTTTCGTTTCATTAATTCACGCAGTATTACGAGCAAACAGTAGTCGAAAGTGGCAGCCGGTTTCCCCCACCGTTCTTCCGAAAATGTCACCCTTCTCTGGCGATGCCAGCTGCTCCGCTTTCTGGAATTGTTATAATAAAGTGACAGCAAATTATGTAGAAAAATTCGTTTGAGAAGGACAGTTACGTCTAATTTTTAATAACCAGTAGATTGTTGCTTTAACGTTGCATTTTATATGATACTTATAATTTTTGATATTTAGAGGTGAAAAAATTACTTAAAAGGAAAAATACTAAACTGAAAGTAACTTGAATTTCGCTACCACTAGAAAATACTATTTTACAAAGCGGAGCAATTTGGCATCTCTGAATGCCGTAGATAGATAAAATAATAAATGATGATTATTAATTCTAAATTATAAATGATTATAATCAATTATATAAATAATAGTTAATTATAAATATAAGACAAATATTAAATTGAAAGGACTAAATAAATACTACTAATGCAAAACTTTATGAAGCATTTAAATACAGTAATTACCTAAATACTCTGAACAAAGCCTTCACCAGACTCAAAACTTGATAAGCTTTCTGTATCACAATCATAATCATCATCATAATTACCTAACTTTCGTTTTTCGGCCATTTTACTTTACAAACACCCTAAAAAACGTGCCAAAATACGCATAAAAGGAACAAGGTAAAAAAATAATTTCCCCTTCATTATAAAAAGAAATTCATGGAACCCGCACTGCTATCTGCAGGAAGTAAAACTAACTACTTTTCGCGAGTAGGATTCGTTTTTAACATAGTCAATGCAGAATAATAATGGCGAACGAACTTTGCCCCCGAGCGGAACTCGTTTGCGCGCATTATGAAGCACGATTCGATTGCGAGCCGAACTCGTTCATAACCGTCAAAGGGTTGAAGCATACCAAAAATGTCTGATTGTATTCAAGTTCGGTTATAGAGCTGGCCCCTCCATGCGCTGAATTTTTTTTCTACTGCAGAAAACCATTCACGAAGGGAGTTCTGTCCGGTGTTGTGTTCTCATGTATTATCCAATAGTACGAAATTATCATCCATGACAGCAACATAAGAGCGCACATAAATACCAACGAGGTCATCACTTGCGACGTGAGCATTCATTGCGCCTCGGGTTAAGACATGAAGGTCTATGCGCCCAAAGAGACACCGCCCCACACATAGACTCTTTGGTATGCATCCCTTAAACGTAAGTGTGATGGATGATTTTAAGTTTCAGGACCTCTCCAAATCAAACAACGCCTACTACAATCGTTTTGGAGGTTAAACATCACCTACTACGTTTGAAAGCCTCCACACGGTTACTTATAAGTAGTCTGCGCAGACTATTTAAAAAGAGAACCTGTGGTGCGCAAGAAATCAAATTCCATTTTGAAAGTCCTAGTCCTAGAGTTTTAATTTTATTGGGCACCTGGGTCACGAAGAGACCCCTATCCCATTCATCTAGAATTTTTACACTGTTATGGTTGACCATTGAGGTAAGCAGGAAGTGGAGTTGCTTTTGTGAATGTTTCAAGCACTTTGCTTGAATAACTAAAAAGCAATCAAAAACTTAAATGAGCCTACTTGCTCTTCAGTTGTTTTTGAAAGTAATTAAGAGAAATTTATCATACACATTGGAGAATTGAATCTGTAGTGGCTGGCAAGTAAATAAGACAAACCAATAATATTCATAAAATAACCAAATTTATAGACTTATATTTGCTTCCACTTTCTTACTTTTACTAGATTTTTTATTAAATAGCTCTTTCGTAAATTGATTTACCTTCATAGCAGAAATGTTAACTGATCCGGGCACGCCAAAAAAATTGAAAAAACGGTAATTAACTACAAATTAAATTTCGCAAATATTTGAAAATCTGTGCTTGCTATTTTTAAAGGTATAGCATGACTTAATTACTATATAGTCAGAGATGCTAACTGCTCCGGACACGCCAAAATAATTAAAAAAAACGGTAAATAACTTCAAAGTAAAATTTGCAAATACTGGACTATTTTTGCTTGCTTTTTAAAAGGTACAGATTGACATAATTATTATAAAGTGGTGAATTGTATAAGCCTACGAATTATTTAGAAATAGTGGTTGATAAAAATCTACTAAATAGAATTTATTAAACCAAAAATCACAATTGATAAACTACAACTTTAAAATATATATTTGTTGTCCGGAGCAAGTTGGCATCTATATCATAGTTGTCTAATCGGACTACCTATAAAAAACCGTGTGGAGGCTTTCAGTTATAGGTGGCGTTGGGCTAACTCAGGACTTATTTGGGAAGAAAGCAGCGCTTAATTAGTCAGCCGTTCAGTAGACTGCGCCCTCCTTAAACGTTCTCTTCTATGGGTGGTTCGTGTAAACTTAAGCACACATGGTGCTAGCGGTAAAAATTCATCGTAAGATTTCTGGTTTACTATTTCCGATTGATTTTTACACCTCAATTTAAATATTTATAATTAAACCATACTATATAGATCAATGATTTCTAAAAGTGAAACAATTATGTATAACTGAGGCTAATTCAGTAGCGCACATCCTAGGACGTGAAATCTAGTGGGATTACAAATATTAGTTTAGGCTCATTAGGCTGCCCCTCTCCATGGTAGTCTTTAGTAATAGGTGAAAGATTAGCACGATTGATGAAGAGAAGTCTGAGCCAGGGCACTAATTGTGGAAACTAGTAAAAGGTGTACCGGAACCCCTGACCAATAAGGTCACTTTCGTAAATGATACGATTAGAAGCTGAATCAAAGGCTACTTATGCTAAAATTATTTGGGTTAGTAAACTTAATTTTAGGTAGTTAAATAATAATGAGGAAAAAGAATATAGGAAGGACAACACAAAACAGGGACAACACAAATAACTGATAACATGAACAAGCAAATAAAGTCATTAGTCGGTAAGAATTTTCCTTTTCTATAATAATAAACACAAGAGTTGTTAGCGATTAGTAGTATATGTTGGCAGTTGTATTAGGTAGTAATTTAATTCAAAATGAGCCGAAGTAACTCCACGAAGGGTAGAGCCAACCCTAGCAGGTGGAAAAGGGTAATGATGATATAAGAGAGGAGAAGCCAGCCGTTTGGAAGAAAAATTAGCTATACGACTCAAACGATGTGTTGAAGTTTTCTATAGTAGTGGAGGATGGCCTGAGGCTGTCTCCTGCAACTAGGTTCATCTGAGTCGTAGTTATAGGAAGGCCTAATAAGAGGGTTGGAGTATCCCATGCTCGTAAGGAAATACTTAAGAGATCTATTTTTGAATAAGTCAAGAAGGCTAGGCGTACAGGTTTCATTACGGACATTTTTGTTCGTGAAATACCAGGGTGAATTTGAGATATTGCGGAGGGTTTTGCTATAAGCTCCTTGTAATAGTTTCAGTTTTGCCTTTTGCAGCCCTCCACCCAAAGGTGGGTGCTGAACACATAAATAGTGGTGTGAGAAGCATTTTGAAAGTATTTTAAAAGTATGTCTAATGTTTTAAAATTATAAATGTTAAAAATATGTATAATGCTTAAATGTTGTATACATGCTTTAAAAGTATTTTAAAAGTAAAAGTGAAAAGCATTTTAAAAGCATTATAGACAAATTGCTCATCGATAATAATTTGGTTATCATCGCGAAAGTCTCTCATTCTACACAAGATGTCCTCAGCGATTTTGCTTAGTGAGGAGAGTTAATTGATTGGTCGATAGCTGTCCGGTTTTGTTGGGTCTTTTCCTGGCTTTAAGATATGTTCAGTGACTGCTATCTCCCTATCAGTGGGAAAGTATGATAAGCATAGCGCTGAGTCAATAATGCATGCTAAATAGTGAATGTAGTTAAGGGACAGTGCTTTGATTAGTTTATTATTATTATTATCTATACTCAGTCCCTTATTATTCTTAAGTTTCTTGATGGAGTTAATTACATCTCCAAAATGATCAGAGCTGCCAGAAAAAAAATCATTAATACCACCTCTAACCAACCTCTAGTTTAGTAGTATCACTTTCGGGCAGGTCGTTGACTGTTAGATTAAAATTCGGTGTAACGATATTTAACTTATCTTGTAGTTTTAAAATATCTCTGGAATTTTATTCGATACCTAATATCTCTGATAATTGCTCTGTTCACTGCATTGATGTCAAATCATTAAATATTCATAAGAATTCAGTCTTGACTGACCCTGGAGTCGACATGCCTTTCAAATATTCTTTTGGGCGTGAATACATTTTGTTTATTTGTTGAAAACTTATAAATTAAAGGTGAATGATAGTTTGAATTTAATGGATAGTGAATTTCAATATAATGTTAGTAGGAACCACAATGGCTCAGACAATAGAGCGTTCGCCTTCCAATGAGGTGAACCGGGTTAAAATCCCGGCGATGACTTGTCGTTACGAATTCCGTTTCCGGCTTGCACTGACCATAGTGCTGCCGTGAAATATCCTCAGTGGTAGAGGAATCATGGATTAGAGTTTTCTTGCCGCCAATATTTTTATAACACACACACACACACACACACACACACACACACNCACACACATATATATATATATATATATATTTGTGTTATAAAAATATTTTTGCTAAAAATTATTAACTATTATTTATTAATTATTAAATTATTTTCCTAAAACCTATTATTTTTATTTATCAAAAGTAAACAAATATTCTCTTCATTTTTTATTTTGAAATATATTACATTTAACATTACGCGAAAAAAATTGAGAACATGAAACTTCGTTTTTGTGCTTTAAAATAATCCTGAATTATTATTACAAAAAAAAAAACTTTCTAAGGACAACAACAAGAGCCTCTTGATATTTCCTATGTTTAAAAGCATTATATTTAACATTATGAGGAAAAAACAAAACAAAAACTGAAGCATTTAAAGATTTTTTTTTACAGTAAAATTTTCATGTAATTTCTCAAGTAATTTCTCGTTAAAAAAATTTAATAAAACTTTTTTAAAACGTATACAGATATTTTCAGCATTTTTAATGGTTTATTAACTTAGTCTTGTTTTGTCTTTGTAATAACACATAAAACAAAGAATATTGGCTGAAACAACAAATATATTGCCATTTTAACATTCACAACCATCATATGTAGTTAATCTCTTCTCTTAAGTCGAGTCAAATTTCAAAATTGTTCCCTCATCGCAATCCAAAAATTCAGAGAAATTAATTTAGCTGATTTTTAGCAAGAACATTTCTTCAAAAATTTTTTTTATGAAAAATAGTCATCTTGATCTCAATGAGTTTTTATCAGATTTCAATAAGTTATTCGATATTGATATAATCCGTGATAATTCGAATTTCAGCCCAATTACTGCCTTTTTATGCTCAGACTGCATACTATCAAAATACTATTAACTTTATCATAAAACTCTACTGAAGGGGATCTCCCCATTCCAAAGATGATTTTCACTTCAAAACTAAAGATTTACTTCTTTAAGGACTTGATTTGTCGTTACAACATACTACAACTTCAAAGATATTTAGGACCTCCTAGAATACGACAAAACAGAATCGATGAATCGGTTAGTGGCGCTTCGCGCCGAGATAACCCTAATATCCAGCATCAATGAGTTTTTATTTAATACGAAACGTAACGCTTACTTTTTCAAAATACTAAATAATTATACTATGAAACGTAACGCCTACTAATGTTTACTAAATTGCAAAGATCAGTAAATAATTACGCGGTTGAAATTTTTTTTAGTTGCATTTATATAACTTGATCTTAAGTTTGTATTATCGCTTACAACGTCGAATACCTCTTCATGATTGGAAAGTTCTTTTAAACTTGAAAACAGCTCTCCTGAAGTATTATTAACGATGAAGTCCGCCAAAGTGGGCGGATCTCAGCCCAACTTCATGCGATTCCAGATCCCGAGCGATCTGGTAAGGACTTTGAGAAGAGATGAATTGATGTCATCAACACAAGAAATTGATGACACAGACGGATCTCTAACACCATTCATTTTGAATTCTCAACTCTTTTACATGAACATGAAACTCAACTTAATCATTCGCCAACGCGATCAGGCTGACTCCAAACAATCACAAAATAGGGTGACCGAGCGGTAGATTAGTTGTTTAGAACTTTTAAATTAGTCTTGCCTTCCACGCAATGGTGAGAACAGTAGCGCAGAAAGCTTAGGGATATATTTTTTTTTGGATTACCTGGTCATAGACTTTTATAACTTAAAAATTCTAGAAAATATGATGAAATTTCAATTAATTATATACTGGTAGATATTTATAAAAAATTTAAGTTCAGTTTTCATTTTTTTTAATAAGGTAAAATAACAATACAAGGATAACACAATTCGCTGTGTTTAGTGGTGTAGGACTCACTCTGATGGCCAGAATTTTAATAAATTTATGTTATTTCGTAGTACCATTTTAATTGCCTAAATAAAGGTATATCTGCAAAATGCTTTATTATTTCATGAGATATTAACAATTTTAACTGTCTGAATTTTTTTTATTTGAATATTAAATTTTATTCACTTTGCTCACCGTTTAACTTAGGATCGTTATTTACAAATGCAAGCTGTCTGCACTAGGGAGTAAAGCATGGAAGAGAAAGTAGGCGTTACTATCTAATGTATATTAACTTAGCGTGTTGTAGATTAACTCTCAAGGAAATGACCACAAGTGTATATATATTTTAAAGCAGGGGTTTCCAACTTACATTAGGCCGAGGGCCGCAATTAAAAACACCGATCAAATGGCGGGCCACAACTTTATCAAAATTTTATATAGAACTCTTTTATGTTAGAAAGAACATTAAATATTGCTGTCATATTTTTATCAAAGTTTTTTTAATATTAAAAAACAAAATTACCAGCATTACAAATAATGCTTGTTACGTATCATTTTAAATCTTATTTTAAATCAGAAACTTAGGGACAAGATTTTTTTTTATTTTAAATTTAATTCTGCGATAAATTAACATTTTTTTTCGACTTATTAGGAATCATAGCAACAACAAAAAAATTCTCAGGCATCTGAAATTAATTTTTTTTTTCTTCTTTTCCGCTCATGCGATATTCAATTCAAGGAATTTAGATAAAAGATGATATTCATTCCCTCTTTTATGCACT